CAGTCAGTGATCATGTTCCTGCATTAGTAGAGTGCTCCCAGTCAGTGATCATGTTCCTGCATCAGCTCAGTTTGCTTTATAGAGCAAAGCGGTTAGCTCTCTTACTGAGGCAGTGCTATGGTATTCCTGGCACAGTAGCCAATACCATAACTGCAAAACAAAGGCAAAAGAACTGCATTTGAAAGATTATAAAATTTAGCTACCTGTCCAACTTCACTAATTTAGTCTGATTTTTTTGATTCAGTTTTCAATTTGCTGTAATTCTAAGTTTAATTAAAGAGACACTAAATGTGCACAGACCGCTTCATATCAGTGAAGTGATGTGGGTGATATGTCACCGTCGTTTTAACCCTGCAACTGAAAACACTGCTGTTTTGCAGAAATGGCAACGTTTACATTGCACATTTAAAATGCTTATAGTTGCTGCCACACTGACAGGCACTAGGGGTGCTTCTGTCAAAATAGCAGATTTAAACATTAATGCATGCATGGTCTCATACACACCACTGATACAGAGAGAACACTGTGGAGGGAGAAAAGGTAAGTAAACTACCTTTTCACTTCACTTGGGGGTAGGGGTGGCGGTAACCTAGTCAGCAGGTCACTTTGCTTTAAGAAAACATGATTTTATTCATAATCCTGTGGTGTTTCTTTAATAATCCTGTCAGTTAATAAACCCAGGGATTCAACAACCAAAGTGAAAAATAACCAAAGAAAAAAAGTCGCTGAATTTGGAAAAAATGAAGCAATGTTGGAATTATTTTTTTTTTCCAACATATCTGCCTTTGTTCTAATATTTAAATTCCATTTTAAAGTCACTGTTTAGTTTTTGACTACATTTATGGATAGGTCGATGAGATTTATATTTTTACTTATACTATTTGTAAAGAAGGGGTTTTGTTTGTTTTTAAAGACCCCCTTTGTGAGCTTGTTAACTATTACTCATTTGAAGGACAGATACTGCACAAGGCCCTTGCTAGAAATATGTTTCTTACAGTCATTGCAATGTCCCGTACACTACTAAACCTATTATGTGTACAGAACAAAAAGAATCAAACGATTTCTGAGTATCTTTCTATAAGGCTACACCCAGCATTGGATTGGAAAAAAACATAAAAACTGCATTTCGCTCTATATATGTGCCTTACAGTGGGACGAACGTCATCAGATTCCCAGAATCTCCTGTAAGACAAGTCAGCGCCATGAGGTCATGGTACAGTAAGGAGGGGCTCCAGGCTGCAGTTGTTTCTCTCCTGCAGGTACTTAAGCGCCACATTGTGGTTGGAGAAGTAACGCTGTAGCTTGCGCTCAGCGCTGTACGCAGGTAGCTGGTCTGTTTTCTAGAATTCCATGGAGGTTGTAGTTTAGCTGCTGTGGGATTAAAATCGAATGCTGACCCGGATTTAGAATGTTACAACGTTGGCTGTAGAATTCTAAAAGTTGCAGCTGCTGCTGGGTGACACAGTCTGTCATATTCCCAAATCACGCTATGGATTTATAATGTCGCAACGTTGGAATATGATCTGTGTAAACTACTCTTTGTTGTTGCATCTGCTGCAAGATGTGACAGACACGCAGTTATATGGCTATATATTAATCATAGAATAATGGCATTTGTAGATATTGTCATAACTTTGACAGTGATCTGTAAACTTTTTATTATTATTATTATTATTATTACAGCTACTGCAAAGTGTGATACAGTCACAGGGAGCTATATTAATGGAAACGTGGTATGGATTTAGAATGTCACAACTCTGGCAGTGATCTTTATATCTTCTTTGTTGCAGCCATTGAAGGGTGAAACACACTCACATGGGGATGTATGGCACTGGAAATAAATACAACCTTTCACCGCCTGCCATCCTTTTCAACACTGCCTTGGAAGTGAGGAAGAGCATCAGAGATATAATGTAACTTCTGAAAAGGCTAATTAGGTACTTACCTGATGTCTGCTTTAAAAGTTTTGATATAAAGAAACATTTTGAAGTCCCCAGATAGATTTGTTGATGTATGCAACAGCTAAAGAAATAAAAGCCCACTAATAATTCATCTAGGAGTATGAGAAAATTAGTTAGGAACTGATACTATCGTTTTGACAAAATCAGTAATGGAAGACTGTTGTGATTTAAACATGAAAATATATGATTTTAAAACAAGCTTGAATGCTGTGAAGGTACTGTTTAAGAACAAATGCATACATAAGGGGTTTATTGTTTATAATGAATATTTACTGAAAAGGAGAGTAAAGATAATTGCAAATTTAAAATTAAATATCAAAGAATATTGACTGCACCTTAAAGGGACACTGTGATCATATATATTATTTAATATTAAAGATTACATGTAAGATAGCCTCTGTTTAGTTTTAATGCACAAGCAAATAGTCCTTCCTGGCTTACCCTTGTATTGTTGGGGCAGCCATTTGTAAGTAAATTTTACTTAAAGGCACTACTTATGTGACCAAAAATCATGTACATTGAATAAGCTGAGAGTGATCATTTTTAGATGTTAAGACTATGCGCATGATAGCTCTCAGTTGCCTGTGTTGTCTTTCATCAGAGTCACAGCTTATCTAACTAAAGAGAACTTAAAGGAACAGACCAGGTCATCTCATTGAAGTGGTCTCGGTGCTGTGCCCCTCTCCCCTAAACCCTGCAATATAAAATATTACAGTTTCAGAGATACTGCAATGTTTACATTGAAGGGTTAAAGGAACACTATAGGTGTTCCTGACCCTAAAGTGTTAAATCCACCATCTGACCCCCCTTCCCACTCTAAATAAAATAAGAGTATTGTCAAATCTTACTTTAATTCAAGTCTGCTGCTGCTGGCTATGTCCCTGATGTGCATGCTTGGCTGACATCATCAGAAACATTTCTTTGAGACAATCACAATGCTTTCCTATAGGATTAGCCAAGTCTGTCAAGGAGGCAGATCAGGGGCAGAGCTAGCACAAGCCAAACAGTCCTGACCAATCAGCGTCTTGTCATAGAGATGTATTAAATCAATGAGGAAAGTGCAGTGTCTCCATGCAGAGAGTAGTGACACTGAATGGCAGTGCTGGTCACTGTGCAGCACTGCCCAGGAAGCACCTCTAGCAGCCATCTGAGGAGTGGCAAGTGGAGGTGTACCTAGATCGGAATGTAATTACTGCATTTTCTTTGAAAAAAGCAGAGTTTAATGCAAAAAGCAGAACATATACAATAAGAGGGACATTATAGAGTAAGGAATACAGTTTTGTATTCCTAAAACTATAGCGTTCCTTTATAGAAAAATGGAAAAAGCATATGAGATAGTTAAAATAGCATAGTATGTTTTTGCCATCATTTAATTAAAGGATCAAGATTTAAATTATATTGGAGGAGATTTACATAGTGGTAGAATGTTTTAACAGTCTAATTTTCATGCGACAGTGAAATGGGTTCTTAAAATAATAATAGACACAAGTCACCATACATTTTAGTAAATTCTCCTCGTGTTTGGCTAATCCTCACATTTTGTTTGGCAAGAACTCAAGAAGATATTTCTATTTTTCCGAATGACATCATCAAACTCACCCATATACAAGATCAGAAGCAGAATGACTTGATTCTCGACTTCCAGGACAACCGCATGTCTGCCATTAATTACTTGCTGTCACAGAAGCTTCATATTCAGCCAATTATCTCGAAAACAAGCAAAACGAAATAAAAAAAATCCCTGCACAATGTTGTGAAATCAATGTAGAATGTGATTTAACATCTCTACAGATTCTGTAGAACTGGACGAGTGACACTAAGGGAAATTGAGCAACATGGATAATGCATAATACAATTGTATACAGTAAGAAAAAACAGATTGACAAAATTGGACAAAAACTTTCTACTGGTGTGCATACAATAGATCAGAGACTGTGAACAATTAGCACTCCACTTCCTGTTTGCTACTAAAATGTAATTGGGCACCATGGCAAATGTAGGCTGATTGCAGGTGATATCCCAAGACTTGTATTTGCAGTAGGTTATAGATAGTCCTTTTAAAGGTTCTGTTATCCAAGTTGACCATTGAGAAGTGGCCGAAAAAAATAAATAAAAAAAATATATATATATAAAGTGAGAAAATACCGGCACTCCAAGGTTTTCCAAATCAAAATCTTCTTTATTCTGAAAAGTACATCAACGTTTCAGCTCCCCTAAGGAGCTTTCATCAGTGTCCTGATGAAAGCTCCTTAGGGGAGCTGAAACGTTGATGTACTTTTCAGAATAAAGAAGATTTTGATTTGGAAAATCTTGGAGTGCCGGTATTTTCTCACTTTACATTATCTAGCAACCAGAGCACCAGATATTTACTATTTTTGATTGGAGTGCAGGGGTTAAATATATTTTTTTCAAAACGAACAGAGATGGTACAAAAAAGAGAAAAGGGATGTGTAGTCCAACAAAGTTATTCTAAAGTTAAATAATTCCAAGAATAACAGCATAAAACACAGACTGACATCAGCACACTAAACCTTATGTAATACGTTATTAACACCACCTTTCGCATTGGCTAATGCAACAAGAAAGCAAAACATAAACCCAAAAATTTTATTCAATAATCTATAAAAGTGCAAGTTCTGCCTTTGGATTGGTGAGTTTTGTGACTTACAAACTAAAAAATGAATTGAGTGCAAAGTAGCAAGGAGGGGAATCAGTGAGGAAAGAAGTAAAATCCAGAGTAAAATAAAATCAGGTTTAATGAGATGGACAAAGGAAGCACCCTGATGGAGTAGCCTGCAAGACAAAGTATGGCTGGAGCATATTATATGGGCTGGAGCTGGTTTTGGCAGCAAGATAATGTCAGGAACGGATTGGATCTTCAGCAAGAAGTAAGCAAATAAACACACGAAGATACATGGAATAGCATGCTTAGGAGGTCTGGAACCACTAAAGGGCATTGCGCCTACAGCAGAGTGAGTATATATAGGCCCAGGCACACGCATAAATGCAGAATAAGAAAAACCAGATGGCAGAAATAGAGAAAATATAAAAGGGCGTAAATGTTACGGCTTGCATTGTTTTATGTTGTTTAGAGTCAAAATGACGCGACCGTTTACTATGAGGGGATTTGGCAGCGTCTACTTTGGAGCGAGGGCTCAGTTTACTAAGTGGAATTGACATGGCTGCCGCCAAAATTGGAGCGAGTCCTTAGGAAACATAGTGAAAATGACGCGGCTACATTAAATCTGAATTTGACCCTGGACTGATGCAGAGCTATTACCACTATTGCCAGGATCGTGGATGGCTGTCATACTGACACAGAGGCTTTATTGTGAGTACTCTTCTGAACAGATAGTGAAAATGGGCATATGTGGGCCCCTGTGATTATCTAAAATGCTGTATGGAATGCTGGCCATGATGGCGTGAACAACCCTATGAGATCATCAGCGGCGCCCAGAAATTCCAGCTAACAACATGTGCAGAGGTACTGTCCAGTTCCTAATGTGGACTCCATTGGAAGTTTTTAAAAAAAAGGTTAAAATGGTTTCTAATTTAATGATTAGCTGCGACACTGCTAATATTTATGTTTTCTCAAAGTCCTTTATCTTGAATGTAGTCCCAGTGAGGTTCAGTTTCCTTGCAGGCTGGACTTTTAACCACACTTGACAGCTCACCCCACACAAAATCCCTACTGCAGAAAAACCAGCACGTCTGTTGGGTAATTTGTGTAACCTGTGCTGTTGCCCAAACAAGTAAAGAAGAGAACTACCCCAATAGCAAATGGTTAATGTAGGAACTCTGTAACGCCAGTGAAGATGTAACAAAACTCCCCCTGGTTTCATCTCACAGAAGGGATGTTACATCACACCAATGAGTATAGCTGATGCTTGCTGTTTTTACCAGCAGCAGAGGATTTGTCCCAGAGTCCCCAGGAAACAAAAAAAAAACTGTTGATGGCGTTAATTCACATGCGGCTATTATATAGTTCATTCTCCCATTCCACCATTACCCAATTTCCACTTAACCTGTGGCGAGAGGGGAAGTGGAACTTTTGAGCCCTGTATTAATTGGCCGCTAATTTGCAGTTTCTGATTACTTGTATAACTTTCTAAGCTTTGTGCCTTTTCTTTATTGTGTGCCAAATAGTTTGCCTCCAGGGCAAAATGTTCATTCAGACAATGTTTGCATTGTGAAATATATTTATGCTATGTATTTTTGTTTCTGAAAATCTTTGTAATTGGTGAATAAAGGTTCCTGTAATTAAACATTTTGTCTGGTAAAGATCCTGAAATATGTTGATTCTCTAAATGTTTTCTTCCATTTCAGTTATACAGGGAGTGCAGAATTATTAGGCAAATGAGTATTTTGACCACATCATCGCTACTTCCTAGTAATCCTTGAGTACCATAAGCACCTCACCGGACACCATAACCACCGTAAACCCCGCAAACTGCCGCAGCTTGGTTGGGGTCTCGCTGTCCTCCACCCACCCTGGACCCAAGACCAGGATCCAGCTTCCAGCTGGTAGACCTCTCCTAGTCCAGAGTGCAAAGCAGGCTGCTCTTACATGAGCAATCGTTGTGATCCAAGGGAGTATAGTGATTATAGCAATCCCCAGAGTGAATATAGCTCTCCAATCCCCCCAAACATGAGCCAAGACTTCATGAAGGGTAAAACAAATCTGTTTAATGGCAGCCACGACTGTCCTTATATGCTGGTCCTCCTGCAAGGGGCACTCCCTCCTGGACCTGAGAGTAGACTACAGTAAAAACATATACACAGTTACACTGGCTCTCAGTTCCAGGATACTCCCATACAAAATAGGTCAGTCCCTCCCCTATGCCTGAGAAATAATTGAATCAGCACTGTATTAAACTCAATTATCTCCAGTCATAGAAAACACACATTTTTACAAAACCCCCAAAATACCTTAAAACACACAAAATCCCCACAAAAGTTACATCCCCTGATAGCCTTGATCTGGGTGACCAACATATCCAAAAATCACCCAGATCAGAGAATACCCTGGAGCTTAATCCTCTTGTTCGTGGGAACGTTTCCACTGAACAGAGCCTTTCTAAGTGTTGTAGAACCGAATGCAGGCGATGCTAAAAGTCCAGCAGTGTTCGGGAGTTTCTGAGTCCGTTTTTAGTTCCATGAGATTCATGTCCAAACACCGCTGCCTGCGTTTGCGGGAACAAGATGTCCGCCACCTCGTGGTCGTCCATAGAAATCACGGCCACCCAGACGAACACTAGAACACTGCGGTGGAAATTGCTAAAACGTAGTAATTAAGCTTAACAAGCTCCAGGGTGGTCTCCGGTTCGTGCAGCTGTTCGGTTCCCGCACAAAATATAAAATACCACAAACCAAGTCTGTTCACATGTTTTTTTTAAAGGGCCTATAGTCTTTTGGTAAGAGGCTGGCCAGAAGGCCCCTCCAAGAACATGTAACGAGGCTCAGTTTGTCACACAGTGTAATGGTTGAAACGTACAAATGAAATAAGTTGGTTCTGAATTTTTAAACAGTTATCATAACCACTACAGCCCGCACTCCAGTATGTCGGCGTTAATCCTCCACACCATGCAACCGCTTGTCATCTTATCTGGGTCCTGCTGAGCGATGATTCTCCTTGCGTATTGCGTTTCTGCAGAGCTGCAGAAGCTGGACTCTGATCCTGATGGCTATTCATTGCTTGAGAATATCAGCTGAGCGCACTGAGCCAATGGGTGACCCACTATGAAAAGAATATGACACTGGCAATGACTGTAAATTTCATTCCGGGCTGGCTGATGATTCTGTATGGCAGCAATATTAACTATCTCAGAATGTGCAGCATTTGAAATTGAACTCCAAGCACCATGCCCACTTCAGAACACTGATATGGTCATGGTACTTGGAATAACCCTTTTTTGAGTTAAAACTAACATTTTATGAAAAAACTGAGAGTAAAACAGAGTGGTACTTATCTGAAAAGCAGGGTCTTGTTCTGGTTCATCCAACTGCACTGAGAAATCACATAATTAGTTTAAGGCAGTGGTAGTCAACCCTTTTCTACCTACCGCCCACTAATGCATCTTTCTTGATGGAAAAATTTCATTACCGCCCACCAGTTTTCGCGCAAGTGCGGAATATTTTTTAGAAAGGAGGGTGTTTTAAAAAAAATAAATGTACGTACATTTATCTTTTTATTTCTATTTTATGCATGTTTATAATGTTTTTAACTTTATAAATTTTAATGAGAAAACAATAAAGTAAATTGAAATTACCTTTACTAGTGATTAATGAGATCCTTGAGGTTGATGTTGCGAGACTAAATATTTGATATCTGGTTCGATTTTCGTAAGGAACAAACAAAGGTCTCCTCTTTCGGTGATATTCAGACGACTTCTCTGTTTGCTCATAATATGATTTCTCATCTGTGCGTCAGCTCCCCTCCTCTCCCTCCTAAACTCCTCTCCTACCTTTTTTTTTCCTTTTTTCTATTTTTTAACCTTTCTTATAGCAATGCCAAACAGACACACAGACAGGCACACATACATACAGACACACACACAGACAGGCACACATACATACAGACACACACACACACGACACACATACATACAAACAGACAGGCACACACACATACAGACACACACATACAAAGACACACACATAAGACATACATACAAACACACATACACATATACATAGACAGACACAAGACACACATACATACAAACACACATACACACACAACACATACATACAAAGACAAGACACACACACAAGACATACATACAAAGACACACACATACATACAAAGACACATACATACAAAGACACACACATACATACAAAGACACATACATACAGACAGACACACACACAAGACATACATACAAAGACACACACATACATACAAAGACACATACATACAAAGACACACACATACATACAAAGACACACATACAGACAGACACACACACAAGACATACATACAAAGACACACATACATACAAAGACACACACACAAGACATACATACAGACAGACACACATACACACAAGACATACATACAAAGACACATACATACAAACAAACACACACAAAATATTTTAGTCACCCTCCTGTTTCCTACCTTTTAGGTGCAGGAGAGTGACTTTCCCTGGGGTCCAGTGGTGGCTCAGGTGGATGGGAGTCAGAGTTCCCACTCTGACTCCCTCTGCTTCCTCCTGCGCTGTCTGTGTGTTAGCTGGGAGGAGTGACGTGCGGTCACTTCCTCCCAGCTCTGTGATGTAATCACAGGGGGCCTGGTCGCGCTGTTAAAGCGCCCAGCGCTGACCGGGCCCCCTTACAATCCATAACCATCGGGTGGCCCTGACAGCATGGGCCATCCGATGAACTCCTTGGACGGCGGCCCCGGGTCTGCAAAAGGTGATGGCGGGTACCCGCCCGCCCAATCTCTCAAAATGAGGAAATCCCTACCTCCCACCTGAAATCCTGAAACGCCCACTAGTGGGCGGTAGGGACCAGGTTGACGACCCATGGTTTAAGGGAACACTTTAGTGTTAGGAATACAATGTTGTCAAACTCTACAAAACCGCAGGAAGTACCTCTAGTGGATGCAGTCTTAACCCTGTTATATAAACATTGCATTTTCTCTGAAACTCAGAGTTAGGGTTCAGATTTTTATTGGACAGGGGTCTGGGTGCTTATAGTGTCCCTTTAAATGGAGGCGACTTATGGTGTGATTATTAAAAAACTAAATTGAGGAAAATTACAATCCTGCTTAAAGAAGACCATGCACCTAAACCCTGTAATAAGGGAATTAATCAGAGAAACAGCAAAGAAACCCACGTGCTTCACAAAGAGTGACTTCATAGACACATGGCAACAAGAAAGACATTGATGAATAAAAAACACATCAAAGCAAACACTGATGATGGTAGAATTGTGTTGTAAGGATGTTTTTCATTGGCTGAAGATAGAAATCTGCCCAGGATCAACAGAAAGAAGTCAAATGCACGGACATTCTAGAGGAAAAGTTGTTAAAAACCAAGGACCCAATTTCTTGAAATGGCCCGCTTAAAATTTAGCCCTCTATTAGAAAATAGCTATTCACCCATTCCAGCCTTATATAACTATTTTGCCAAGACGAATGGTCAAATGTAGCAAAGCTGATATAAACTGTTTTTAAAAGGCTAGCAAGTATTGACTCTGATTGGTGAATATTTTTGCACTTAGGAAATATCTTCATATGTGCAAAGCTGACAGAGACAGATTTAAAGAGACACTATAGTCATCAGAACAACTACAGCTTATTGTATTTGTTCTGTTGAGTAGAATCATTCCCTTCAGGCTTTTTGCAGTAAACATGGTATTTTCAGAGAAAATGCAGAGTTTACATTACAGCCTAGGGATAACTTCACTGGCCAATCCTCAGATAGAGGTGCTTCCTGGGGCATTGCTGCCTAGTGTGCAGTACTGCCATTCAGTATCTCCACCCTCTGCATGCAGACACTGAATTTTCATGAACGTGAACGTTAATCCACAGATGCCATTTGAAGGCACGAGGATCCGACAGAGAAGCTTTGCATATAGGTAGCAGCTGACTCCTGTTTTGTGTTTTTTTGTGTAAACATTGTCAGTCAGTATTATAATATTAAGACTCTAAAAGTGCTAGGCATATTGTGTAAAACAATCCATTTTAATTCCAGACTGGGTACATAATTACGTAAGGGACTGCATAAGTGCAGATCTTATTGTAGTGATATTTTGTTTCTGTTTTGCAGATATCATTGAGAATTGTGTTGGTCCATGTAGGATGCAAGTCAAAATTCATACATGAATGTGAATGGCATGAAAAGTGAAAGAAATGTAAAAGCTAAACAACGGTGTCTCAGGGACTCCTTATTAACAAGGTAGGACCTTTCAAT